TTTTTACATATCTGTTCTAGTTGCAGATGCTATGTGATAAACTATCCAAATTTTAGTAGCATTGGACAATAATGGTATCATGGTCATATATGCTGTGGGCCAAGAATTTAGACAGGATCTAGTGTGATATTTGTCTCTGACATTTGAGGCTTCCTATAAGAAGACTCGAGCTGGGATTGTTTGCAGTCGGGAGTCACTTGATGTTTGGGGCAAAAGCGTCTTTACCCAGGTATCAGGCGACTGATACTGGCTGTTGGCTGGCACTGCATCTGAAGCTGTCTACCAAGCCATATACTGGTTATCAGCAAGTAATTGTACTGGCCCAGATTCCAGGTTTGGTGCCTGAGACTTCAGCTCTCCATGGTAAGAATTTGATTATATATTTTAAAGCTGGTACAGTGTCTTCTTAATGCTGCTACTACAATCAAGTGAGATTAGTAAACCTAGACCTCACTTCCTCTTTATCCCTTCAAGGCACCCATATGGGGAAACCCTAGAATTTCCCTTTCAAGCATATGAGAACATGTCTGGTTGCATTCAAATAGCTCAGGAGTCCATTAATGTGGTCACTTACCATTCACATTCATTGTGAAATTTTATTAGTTATTGTAATATGAACTTAATAGTTAATAATAACAACAGTTAAACATAAGATGTATGTACCAAGAGCCTCAATGGTATATATATATATATATATAATTATTAAGGGGTTCTATGGGGAAAATAGATACAAAATGAAGTAATACTGTTGCCTCTTCGTCCCCCAGGTAAATATGGGGAAATCTCCAGACCAGGTCACTGAACTGTGTGCCAGGAAGCCTTCCATGTCCAAGAGAAAGCCCTCGACCCTCTCCCCCTTCCCTTTTAAGAGATCACATAGGCAGGCAAGAAACATAGCCTCTATCAGGCCCGATAGCCTGATAGGTCATGGGTGGAGGGAATTCCCACTACAGGTGTGCATCATAAATAACATGTGAAATAAAACCTGCACCACACATGATGTATTCTCCAAAGAGAACTTTATTGTTTATTACTGCATGGAAAAATCACTCCACAAGTTAGTATGTTAAAATAACACTTTTTTTTTCAAAGCTTCTGAGGATCAGGGATGTGTGAGCAACTTAGCTTAGAGGCTGTCTCTCAAGGCTACTCATAGGGAGGGACCATGGCATCTAAAGGATTGTCTGTGCTGAGTGGTCATCATTGAACATTGCCCATCCATAGTGCTAGTGGATGGAGACCCCAGGTCTTCACACATGGGCTTCATCATAGCATGCCCAAAAGTTCTTAGGACATGACACTGGCCTCTTACAGAGTGATGTTAATGAAAATGAACAGGAAGCCATTGGTACATTAAGTGATACTT